CCTGCCTGCCCCATCCCAGCGCCCCCTCCTGACCCCCTACCTCCCCCACCTGCCCCCCCAGACCCCCTCACCCTCTGTCCTCACACCACCTGCCCTGCCCGCCTGCACCCCCAGCGCCCCTTCCTGCCCCACCCTCTGTCCCCACCCCCACTGCCCCCCCACCTGTCCACCTGCCCCCCCAGTGCCCACTCCTGCCCCAAGCCACCATCCTCTGCCAGTGACCTCTGCCTGCCCCCACCCCCTCCCAGCCCCCCCGTCTCCCCCACCCTCTGTCCCCACCCCCACTGCCCCCCCCACTGGCCCACCTGCCCCCCCACTCCTGCCCCAAGCCCGCCCACCTGCACCACCCCAGTGCCTGCCACCCCCATAACCCCCTCTCCACCAGCCACGGCCCCCACCTGCCCCTCCCCCTGCTCCTTCCCAGCACCTCCTGCCTGCCCTTCCACCTGCCCCCCAGCACCTGCCTCCATCCCAGCTCTCCCACTTCCCCAATCTCCCTCTAGCTCTGCCCTCAGCCACCTCCCAGTCCTGCCCCATAGTGCCCCTAGCCTCCCAGTCCTGCCAGCACCCCTGCCCCATCTCCCCACCCTGCCCCAGCCCAGCCCCTTCCTCCCCCTAGCTTGCCCCCATCCCAGCACCCTCTGTCCCCCGTCCCCCATCCCAGCACCCTCTGACCCCCAGCCTTGGCTCTTATCTCTGCCCCCCATCCCTCTGCTCCTCAGATCTGCCCCTTATTCATGGCTTCTGGACCCCTCTCTCCCACCTGCTTTGACCCCTGCCAGGTCAGCCTCTGAGTCTCTGTGTTTGGTTGGCAGTGAGGAGCCCCCACCTGTGTTGCCATCCCCCATACGTGGACCCAGCTGCGAGAGGCCAGAGTGCTACCAGGCAGAGCCGTGGGGCCTGCTGGAGTGTTACCAGTGCCGCTACCTGTGCACAGCCAGAGGTAAGACTCACCTGCCTGTGACCCAGCGGATGCTCTGTCTGCACTAATTCCTATAGTGCACAGGGCCCTGTCTGGGGGCTGAGGGTGCCAGATGTCCTGTCTAAAGTGGGGGGAGAGGGGTCTGCTGCCTCTTGGCTGTTAGTCCTGGTGAGGCTGGACACAGGCACCTGCCAGTTCCCTCTGTGCCCCTGGCCAGTAGCTGGACGTGTGTCTTGAGCTGCTGGGCTCGCCCTGTTCTAGGGTGACCAGATATCCCGATTTTATAGGGACAGTCCTAATTTTGGGGTCTTTTTCTTATATAGACTCCTATTACCCCCCCTCCCGATTTTTCACACTTGCTGTCTGTTCGCCCTACCCTGTTCCCCCAGCTCCTCCTGAGAGAATGAGGTCTGCTCCTGTGGGGGCAGGGAGAGCCCTGATTGGCTGCTGTAGCTTAGGAAGTGGGGCAGTGGAGAAAACAGCCAATCAGAGGAGGGTCCCCACAGGTGGTGCTAACAACCTGCATGCCTCAGCAACCCTACTCCTTTTCAGAAATTTGATTTCCGGGGCTAGGACCTAACCTGACATATTTACCCTGTGTGTGTGTCTGTGTACAAACCCACTGTAACCTGGCACACTTATCCTGTGTGTGTGTACAAACCCACTGTAACTCGGCACACTTACCGTGTGTGTGTGTATACACAAACCCACTGTAACCTGGCACACTAACCCTGTGTGTGTGTGGGTGTATATTCACAAACCCACTGTAACCTGGCACACTTACCCTGTGTGTGTGTACAAACCCACTGTAACTCAGCACACTTACCGTGTGTGTGTGTGTGTGTATACACACACTGTAACCCAACACACTGACCCTGTGTGTGTGTGTGTAACCTGGCATACTTACCCTGTGTGTGTATACTTAATACAGTGCATTTTAACTCGCGTGTGTCTGTGGGTGCACTTTATCCTGATGGCAATGGTCCCTTCTGTCTTTGGAATCTCCGAATCTATGCGTATGCAGACCTATTGCAACTCAGTGGACTTCAACCTGTGTGTGTGTGTGTGTGTACACAGACCCACTTCATCCCGTGTGTGTGTACACACACACACCCACCCACTTCAACCCAGTGCTCTTTAACCTGTGTGTGTACACACACCCATTTGAACCCAGCGCACTTTAGGCCCAGGAGATGGCCATGCCTGCAGCAAGGTCCATAGCTGGGATGTATCTTGCCGGCTGGGGATCTTCCCCATTCCAATAGTCCCAAATCCTCTGAGACAAAGACGACACTTGATTCCAGGAGAGCTGTTCACTTGCTGATCCCAGGGCTAGGGTGTGTGCGTGCTGCAGAAGGGCAAGGAAGAGGTTGTGCCAGTGGCTGGTGAACTCTCACTCTAGCTCATGCCTTAAGCTGAGTGTGGGTTATTGAGGTGAGGGCTCTGGCCAGCTGCATATGGTTCTCTACTCCTGTGACTCAGTGGTGGGCATCAACCTACAGGGAGCAGCAAAGCAGCAGGAATGGGATTTGCTGTTGATGCTGAGAGGAGAACAGAGGAGGCTAGATAAAGGGTGTCAGGTAGTTATTACAAGCTCATAAAAGGGGTTGTATCAGTGGATGATGGAACTTTGTCCCGTATCAGTGCAATAAAACTCCTCCAGAAACCTGTCTGGGAGCAGGGAATGGGGGAGGGTTTTGGTGCCTTTGCATGGGTGAATTAGTTGCTCAGAAAGAGTCAAGTTGCTGTCAAGACTCCTACTTTAAAAAGCTGCCCCCTTTCTCCTTCGTACTGTTTTACAGCAACTTCAGCCTGGCACAGCAACTTGCCTCCCGTATTCTCCGCCGCTGTCATGTAATGCTCAGGGGTAAAGTCAGGGCCTGCACACAGTACCAGGGGCGGCCCCAGGCACCAGCGCACAAAGCGCGTGCCTGGGGCGACAAGCCACGGAGGGCAGCCTGCCGGTTGCCGTGAGGGCGGCAGTCAGGCTGCCTTCGGCAGCGTGCCTGCGGAAGGTCTGCTGGTCCCGTGGTTTTGGCGGCGGGTACGCCGAAGGCGCGGGACCGGGGACCTCCCACAGGCGCACCGCCGAAGGCTGCCTGACTGCCGTGCTTGGGGCGGCAAAATACATAGAGCTGCCCGTGCACAGTACTGAGCCATCACCTGGGCTCTCTGCTGCCTTCTCTGACTGGACAGTTTGGAGGGTGTTTGACCAAGTTCCTTTATGCTTTATTCCAGGCGTGAGGGTGAAATTTCTGTGCACCCTTCACTCCTAAGACTCTTCCCTCCACTGGAGCAAGTGCATAGACTGTCAGTTTTTGGATATAGGGGCGGAGATGTTTGGCACAGTTAATTTGCCGTACACCCCCATGGACGCTGAAGGGAGCTAATTGGATCCAGCAGCATGTGCAGCTACTGCTGGCTCTGAATGTTCAGGGACGAGAAGGCTAGGAGTATAGCGTGTTCCCAGCCAGCCAATTGGCTCTTCTCTAGGTTTGGAATACAGGGTCTTCCCAGCTGGCCCTGCCTCAGGTGGATTCTTCATTTGCACCCCAAAGTGGCTGAGTGCTTGGCAAAGTTGTGAGGCTTGCCCTGTCCACGGCATACAGTGGTGATGAGGGATGCCCCTTGGTAAGGCTGCGTGCCTCATGGGGTTTGAAGCAAGTTAAAACAAATTAGATTTTCAGAGCCCGCTAACAGCTGCCTTTATTTCCTGTTCTGGGGCTGCTGGCTTGTTTGCATTAGTGAGTTGTTGATCCTGTCTGTCAAGGTAGCTGTGTCACACCTCTCAGCATGACAGAGTGCCCGCAGGTCCCATGGATTTATCTGAAGTTGTGGGTGCTCAGGACCTAAGAAAAAAGGCCCTTAAAATATAAAGATCAAAGCAAAATTGCCTCTCCTCCCTCCTAAAGCACATTGGCTGGAACTTGGCTTCTCCTTCTGGTCCGCCCCCTGCATTCAGAGGGCAGGTGAGGAGCTCTCGTATTAATCAAGCTTCTTGATTTATTTGGATTTGTAACAATTGCAAGCCCCTCTCCAGAGCTCCAGGTACTTCAACAACAATTGAACTACACTTGACAGTAGGACTGTGAGGAGTAGTTCCCCACTATGCTGTATGGCTGCCCTGTCATCAGACACCTAAGGAAGAAGTTGGGCTTTGCAGTCCTGGGAAAATGCACAAGTTAGTGCCGTGAGGAAAAGGTGGGCCTTGCATGTTGTCCTGTGGTCATCTTTCCCTCAGTGAAAGGGAACTTCAACTACTTAATTCATGGTCAGCAACAGGCACACCCTCCCTCATGCCCCTGTGCTGCTGTGAGAGAAGCCAGCCCTCTTATAGTTATGGGGGGTGTGGGACCTTCTCAATACTAGACCCATTGCTAACTGGCCTTTGAATTGTTCATCTTTGCAGCTTGCTGCCAGCTTGTGGAAGTTCTGCTGACCATGCTGATCCTGATCTGCAGCTCTGTGTCCTACAGCTCGACAGGCGGTTACACCGGCATTCCCAGCTTGGGGGGCATTTACTACTACCAGTATGGAGGGGCTTATAGTGGCTTTAATGGGGCAGAGGGGGAAAAAGCCCAGCAACTTGACACTCAGTTCTACCAATTAAAGCTGCCGACAGCAAGGGCAGCGATGGCTGTGGGAGGGGCCCTGATGGCCTTCTCTTGCCTTCTGGTTTTGGTTGGTGTGCTGCGGCTGCCATGGCATTTCCCAGCCTGGCTGCTGCTCGAATGCACTCTGGACATATTGATTGCACTTGGCTTCCTGCCTGCTCTCTACTTCTACTTCCACCATCTGTTGGATGCCTACGATTCTCTAGTGTGCAAAGAGAGAGAGCATCTCTACCAAAGCAAAGGCTACCAAGGCTTCAGCTGCAGTGTGCATGGGGCAGAGATAGCAGCTGGGCTCTTTAGCTGCATTGCCATTGTGGCGTTCTTGGTCAGTGCTGGCCTTGCTATCAGGGGATACAAAACAGTTCATCAGCTGAGAGAGAAGCCAGTGCAGATGTATGAATTTTAGGGTGGCTTCTGCATACCCAAGCTGTCCTACCAGCTCATCTCTCTCTCTGGCTGCCAGCCTGGACACCAAGAAGGGGCAGCATCGTTTCCCCTGGCTCAGGACATTGCATCTGCACTGCTACAATCAGAACACAGGACCATGGCCACAACAAGCACCCTTACCATGAGAGAACAGCTCCAGCTAGAGCCAAGCCAAGCTGCTTTTAACCAGCCCTTGCATTTAAATCTTGTGCATGTGAGCAGAACAGATGCATTCTTAGTTCCATAATCTACATCTGCTCCATGGCTCTGCCTCTGTTAGCAGTGACTAGCTTACTGCTTGTGCTGAGCTCAGTATCTTGGGAGTAGAGGGGCCCCTCCATCCCCTGATCTGCTGAAGCAAGATGTCCCAGCTCTCTCGTTGGCCACAGTCCCGTTCCTCCCATACAAGGTAGAACTACCAGCACTTGGCAAGATACCATATTCATTAGCTAAGACTGAGCTTTTCACTTGACCTTAAATAAGCACAATGGGACTTCATCTCTCCTCCCATCACTGCATGTTTGAACAACTTTGATTCCCAGCTGCTTGCTACAGCAGTGCAGGGAGCAGGAGAGAATGACATAGGAAGAGAGCCCAGGCTCGGCCACTAAACCCTGCCACTAGCTCTCCTCTGAGCCTGTGTTTCCTCACATGGCGGGGATCAGGGGGTCACCTTTAAACAATGGTTCTTATTTTTTTTAAATGTAATTGATTGTATAAGAAAATGATTCTACAAACCCGATCATTAGCGGAAGGGTGAGTGAAGACAAACACCAACCATTGTTCCCATAAAGCAGGGGTTCTTAAACTGGGGGTCAGGACCCCTCAGAGGGTCCTGAGGTTATTACATGGTGGGTCACGAGCTGTCAGCCTCCACCCCACACCCCGCTTTGCATCCAGCATTTAGAGTGGTGTTTAATATATAAAAAAGTGTTTTTAATTTATAAGGGGGGGTCGCACTCAAAGGTTTGCTGTGTGAAAGGGGTCACCAGTACAAAAGTTTGAGAGCCACTGCCATAAAGCAAAGTGATGTCACCCAGGCAGTAGCATGTGACCCTAATGATTAGTTGAGTGCTGCATGCCTGCGTGGAGCCTAGCCGGAGAGCCCCCGCACAGGGCAGGGCTTTACACTATAGGAACATGTTCAGTAGCACCTAGGATTGAGCCTGTGACCAACCCATGGGGAAATGGCATGAAGGCCTGGGAATGTAATGGATCACAGTGGAAACAAGAGAAGACTGTCCTATTAAATACAGTTTCTATGAATATCCCACTATGGTAGGATACTGTCCTCACCACTTAGCTGAATGGCCAAAGTGTAGGTGCGCTAGGGCTCCCTACAGATCTGAACTGTAAGAGGGACAATGGCTAGGGTTGCCAACCCTCCAGGAGTATCCTGGAGTCTCCAGGAATTAAAGATTGTCACGTGAGAAAATCTCCAGGACTACATCCACCCAAAATTGGCATCCCTAACAATGGCTGCTTCAGCCCCAGGGGGATGTTGAAGCAATGTGTTGGCTGTGTTGCTTTTGATCCCTGGTATGGTGAGTATGGTGCTCAGCTGAGGGGCTGGCAGCCAGTAGATAGATGGAGTAGGCCCTCTTGTGGGAACGGCTGGAGCCTGGCGGTATCTGATGGCAAAAGGCACATCCCCCCACCCTTTTTCTCCTTCTGCTACATGTGGAGAGTTGGCCAGCTAGCTTGGCAGGCGGCCTCATCCTTTGGCTGAGAGGGGCAGGAAGACCCATTTCTGGTGTAAGCTAGTGCTGTTGTCTCTGCTTTTCCTCTGCACTGTTTTGCCAGTGTGGAAGGCAGTCTGTGCTGTTTCTCTCCCTGTAATAAAGGCCCAACGCAACTCAAGGGAACAAGAAATAGCTGTGTCCTTGTCTGAGCAGAGCTCTGGGTGGACAGGCATTTACCTAAATTCTGTAGACCATGTGTTCTCATGCTGGAGGGCATAACACCGCCTGCCCTTTGTTTATGGCTAGACAGGAGTATCTTGAAGGGTTTTTTTTGTTTATAACATGGGCTCACAGCCTCCAACTGGTTGAGAGCCCTGCTGGAGCTGGGCCAAGCACTAGAAAAGACCCCGCCCTGGCCCCCCAGGTGCTAGCTGAGCTAAGCTCAGACTTTCTAGCCCTTCTACCTCTGCTACAAGCTGAGTCAGCTCACTAGGTTTGGGCACTCCAGAGTGTTGGGAGGACAGGTCAGGCCTGGCTGAAGTGAAAGGGAGACATGTCACAGCATTGTGTATTTCACCCAGGTGTGGTGCAGCAAATCCAGGTGTTACTGAATGCTCTGGCTCTCGTGTGTGGTCACTTCTTATTTTGTTCTTTCTGGATTCAGTGCTGGCTTTACCGCTGGTGGCTTCAATGATAATTACTACTGACCCTTCAAGGGCCAAGCACTGGTGCAAATCCAGCACCTGGATCAGTAGATCACCATCTTCTTGTTGGAGATTTGAATACTTGCTTCCTTGTTGGAAGGTCCAAGCCTCTGGAAGCTCTCTCGCTAGGAAATGGCTGCTTCTGGAAGCCACGTGCTGGCTCCTGGCTAGTGAAACAGTTTAGTATTCTTGGCACTCGAGTACTAGATGGCCTCCTCATGTGAGGCAGAGCTAGGGTAACAAGCTGTCTTAGCCACCAGCAGTGGCACCTGCAGGCCAACTCTTTCTCTAGGTATACAATTTCTAAGCAGAATGTTGTGGATAAGAATGTGCTTTTCACTGACTTTTATTCTTTCATTCACAGGCTGCCAAAGTGAGTCGCTTTTTGAGATAATGCAGGGAAGAACTAGATGATAAAATATTAGAGACTAATCAGAGTCGCATAAAGTAATTGGCCTGATGTATAACCTGGACTCTCATCAGATCTGTCTAAAGCAGCACTAAGCCAAGCTTGCTCAATCCTTTTGATGGGAGATTTCCTTAGAAAAGCTAAGGCAGTGAATCACTACTGATTCCAGCTAATGGTGTCAAGGGACTGTGGTGCTCAGAGCTCTAAACAGCATCTGTCCAGAATAAGGGTCCCATGGTGCTTTTCCAGAAGTGTTAACAGCACTTTCCTGTTTTGATCCCCAATGGGTAGGTACATTCCCCCTTGGTAAAGTCTCCCTGTAGTTTCAGCTGGCAAAAGATATTACTATTTTCAAATTCTCTAGCTCCAGACACATGGTACACCTGCATAAGCCCCTCAGTGGTATACAACAGGGACCATCACTTGAAGAAAAATAAGTTTATATGATGCAAGATTACTCCTATAAAATTCTGTGCCAGATCACCAGCTGTCATTCTGCTGCCCGCTTTTACCCCGAAGTCACTTTTTCTTATAGCACAGGGTAGTTCTGCTAGGAACATATTGTGCAGAAGACTCCATTAGGAGAGTTGACCTATAAATAAATGCCTTCCAATCAGTGCAGAGCTTGTATTAACCCTTTGAGCCAGGCATTTATATTACCATGATAGAGAAGCAATGCCAGAGACAAGTTTGTTTCCATTTTAAGACCAATCTGTGATATAAACCTCTCTTCTGGGCCAGAGTAAATTTGGGCTGGAAATTAGGTTTCTAATGATCAGAGATGGGAGGTTCTGGAAAAGCCTTGCAATAGGAGCAGTGAGGGCATAAAGGATTTTAAAACAGAACTTGATAAATTTACAAATAGGATTATTTGAGGGGGGTGCCTGCACTCGGTCCCCTCCACTCCCATGCTCTGTTTGTCTCACGCTCTCTGAGGGGCAGGCAGGGGTGCCTTTCTGTATAAAACGTGTCTGGTCTGTGCCTCAAGAACAAGGTTAATCAGTGGAGACTGAGCAAGATCTGAAACTTTGGAAAACAGTGTTCAGCTATGAAAATTCTGCTGTCAGATCTCACAATAAAGCTTCCACGCTTTACAGTAAAGATATTAAATGCTGAGCTCTTCCTTGTATTCTTTATAAACAATTAAAGGTGAACTTTACTCTTTTAAAAAGTTTGTTTCTTTGACTTTTTTATGGAATAAAAATGGGGCAGTGGCTCTATGAAACCATGAACAAGCTTCAAAATGAAATGTCATTTCACAGCAGCCCCTACGTATAGCATCCCTTCGTTAGCACTGACCACATGGAAAACACGCAGAACCAACATGACTGGCCAACACTGCCTAACCCCCCCTCCCCAGTGAATACAAGTGATGTTTAGCCTCTAGTGTTTCTCTTACTTAATTGGCACCAGTCTCTACTCTACAGCATCACATGAGATCACGAAGCAGCAGGGTGGAGTCAGAGATATGGCAGTTGAAGAAAAAGATTAATAAAAGCCAATTATCAGCTGAAGTATATCTGGTTTTGCTTGGTAGTGCCCTCTTTTTGGTACCGGTTACTCATCCTCTAGGTAACTGGGAGGGGAAACGGTATTTATTTAGCAAATCCTTCTCTCAACTCATAAGGCAAGAGGTGAATTATCTGCCCTCCATTAGCCCAAAAATACAAGGGGAGGAGAACTCTATTCCTGCAGGCTGCATAACCCTTAGCAGCCAAATAAGTAGTGTTACCAAGTGTATTCACTGCAAAGCTGTGTCTAGGCACAGTGGCTCGTGTCAGTCCTAGCCACAGGCTAATGTTTCTCCACTTACTATCTGCTGCAGATACCTCTAGAGAGCTGCACAACAAAGTACTTCTGAGGCAAAACTACTGGCCAGAACTCCTCTTCACATGAAGAAATTCCACCTTGAAGATGCTTTACAAGTACTTTATAAGGAGGAGGCCCTATTGGGGGGGGGAGTAGCCTGCTCAGCCAGATGACTGAGGCCATGTCTACTCTACCACTTATGTCAGCAAAACTTATGTCGCTCAAGGGTGTGAAAAAAAACCAACAGCCCCCTGAGCGACATAAGTCTTGCTGGCATAAGTGCTTGTGTACATACACAGGGTTATCTCGGCATAGGGTGGCTACACAAGAGATCTTACAGCACATCAGTACAGCTGTGCTGCTGTAAGGTCACGAG